GGTCGAGGGAAAGAGAGCTTAGGGAAGCGGGAGATCTCAGCTAGATCAAGAACAGAGAGGGAGAACAGGGAATAAAAGACCATGATAAATGAAGACCCCATGAGAATAGGAAGAAGCAAAGTGCTAGAGAGGCCCACAGAAATCCACAAAGATACCCCCACAATAGACTACCGGCAATGGTCGAGAGAAAGCCTGAACTGACCTGGTGATAGGATGGCCAAACACCCTAATATCCTAATTGTTGTGCTAGAAACCCCATGCAATGACTGAGGGAACCGGATGCAGAGATCCACGGCCAGGCCCCAGGTGGAGCTCCAGGAGTCCAGTTGGCAAGAAAGAGGAGGGTTTGTATGAGTGAGAATTGTTGAGACAAAGGTTGGATAAAGCACAGGGACAAATAGCCAAACGAATTGAAACACATGAACTATGAACCAATAGCTAAGGAGCCCCCAACTGGATCAGGCCCTCTGGATAAGTGAGACAGTTGATTAGCTTGATCTGTTTGGCAGGTATCCAGGCAATGGGATTGGGTCCTGTACTCAGTGCATGAGTTGGCTGTTTGAAACCTGGGGCTTATACAGGGACACTTGGCTCAGCCTGGGAGGAGGGGACTGGACCTGCCTGGACTGAATCTACCAGGTTGGACTTTGCCCTGGAGGAGATGGGAATGGGGGGTGGACTGGGGGGAAGGTGGATGGGGGGAGGACAAGGGAATCCGTGGCCGATGTGTAAAATTAAATTAAATTATAAAATTAAAAATAATAATAATAAATAAATAAAAGCAAAAAAAATGGGTCATGTTAATATGAAATCTTTATTATCGCTTAAAATATGCATTTGTGTATATAGATCAATATACTCAAATAACATCTCCAAGTTGTATTTTCTTTCACATATTTTATACCCAAAATCAGAGTATGCCTTATTATTTATAATGTGCTGTACTTTGTTTGGCAGCATTAAATAACTGAGCAATTAACAGTTGGTTGTACCCTGGAGCCACTGAGATATACTTTATAGATTATATAAAGTTGTATAGAGTTGTAAGTTCACAAGATGCTTCAGTGATTTTAAATCAATGCCTTAAACAGGTCAAAATTAAAATAAAATGTAATGTGCATTGACAATGCACAAACAAGGAAGCATGACTGTGTCTCAACACAGATTTATTTAGAGACTTGATATTTCACATACTTCCTAAACTATCATAACATATCGTTATCTTGTTCAACCACAAAAATCATCCATAGTACCAAAGTCACACAAAATTAGGTAATGATCTGTTTTGGCCCTCCGGCTATAGTTTCTGACCCCTGACTTATAAGAGGACATAATATAGTTATAGCTTTGAGTAGTAACACATGCTTATGATCCTAGCACCAATGAGGCTGAGGCAGGAGGATTGACAGCACAGACCTGCCTGGACTACATAGCTAAAACCTGTTTCTAAACAAAAATAATGCAGGTAGTGATGGTGCACACCTTTAATCCCAGCACGCAGGAATCAGAAGCAGGGAGATCTCTATGAGTTGAAGGCCAGCCTGGTCTACAGAGCAAGTTCTAGGACAGCCAGGGCTCCACAGAGAAACCCTGTCTTGAAAAATAAAACAAAACAAAAAATAAAATGGAAAATAAAAGCATTCTCAACACCACTTTTATAAATTCCATTTGGCTTTGGAACAGCCAAGGCTGGCCTGGAACTCTCTCACAGCTTCTTCCTCTTTCCCCAGCTTCCAGAGTGCCAGATTTTCAGGCCTTCACCACCACACCTGGCTTATAAAGTCCACCATGGAAGCTGTGAGCTGGCCCATGTTAGACAGCAGAGGGAGGATTCCGGGTAGAAGAAATAAGATGAAAAATTCTTTGCTGTTTAGGCACCTCTGCAGCCCCCATGAGTACATCAAAAGACCTAGGACTGCAATGAGCACTAAGGACGCAGATATGCTGTAAATGGGATTCAGCTAGCCAGTGATTTTTTTTTTTTTTTTACAAGGACTGTAACACCAAAACCACTCAGCAGTGCAGCATTGTAGAGGGATATGAATGTCTCACAAGGCAGGTCTGGAAAAGTGCTGATGGATTCCCCATGCCAGATTCTGTCAACCCTGACTTTCTATTTGCTCTTATACTTCCTTAATGGTGATTCACTTGCTGTTAAATGTGGTGAATAAAATAAGAAGACACAAATAAACACATATACGTGTGTGCGCGCGCGCGCACACACAGACACACACACACACACACACACACACACACACACACACACACATCACATCACATCACATCACATCCACAGAATGTACTTGTAGATATTTCAGGGTTACAAAAACTGGTACAGCCTAGTGATTAATTTTTCAAGTGCTTTTCATCTACTTTATATAAATCATTCTATTACAAGCTTATGAACTCCAAACAAGTCATCATTAAGGAAATTCCTTAGTTGGGCATGGAGGCAAACCTGTAATCTCAGTCCTCAGGAGGTAGAGGCAGGGGGATCACAGGTTCCAGTCCTGTCACCATATCAAAAACTTAACTGAAAAATACCAACAAACAAATAAATAAGCTTATAGACATTTGGGGGTAATATTTGGTACAATATGTAGTTACTATCTGTATAAATTAACATACTTTAAATACACATGCATCTCAGATAGTCTTAATATGTTAATGTTGGGAAAAATGAGAGTTGTGTGAAATTACTTACCAAGTTATATTTCCTATAAACTAGAAAACTAAAACACTTTCTTATGTTGATACAAATGGTTTCTTTAACCATTGCTTATTCTTGGTGTTAATGTGGAAAAATACATTGGAAGGGTATCTCTTTAAGCTCTTCAATGTTAGCTCCAACATTAAAAATTGTGTTTTAAGGGGAGTTGGTTTTACCATTTTGACATGCATGAGATTAACAGTTTGGGGAAATGTGTCTATGCTCAACTTTGCTTCCAATTTTTGACTTTTAAACTTATTGTCAAACTCAGAAAGAACTGGGAAGCACTGAAGATGATTAAGCACTTGCCTTGGGGAATTATTTGCAGTTAATTAAAGCTGCACACTCCGGTGTATACTTGATTCACTGGTTATTAAAGCTGAATCATATCGTAACTACCTAGGCTTCTCACTTGTCCATCAAGCGTTGCTTGTGGTAGGAGAAACAGGCTTCCTCATAATAATCGAAAAACATGACGTTTGAAGCTATCTCCCAGTTTTGAGAAGCGGGGGAGGATGGAAGAGAGAGAGACAGGGAAGAGAAGCAAACAAAGAAAATTTTATTTCAGATCCTATCTGACTTTGCTCTCAGGGCCTTAGTACTCAGCTTAAAGGTACAAACCCAGAAAAGAAGCAATTCACAGGAATTAAGGCATAGGTTTGGTGGCTCCGGTTTTCTCCCTAGCTGAAAGGTTGACAAGATCAGCTAGTAATATTTAGGTACCTTGAATTCTGTCCCTGGGGCTATGTAAGAAAGGTATACTAGATTGCAAGCTTCATGAAGGCAGACAGCTATTCCCTGCTGGGTCCCCAAGGCTAGACCAGTACCTGGCATATAGTTAGCACTCAACAAATGCTTACAAAATGAGTGAAAGGCCAACTTTCTGGCTGCTGCTGGCCTATCTATTGGCTCTTTTCAATGTCTTTTTTTCAAGGTCTTCCACAGCTCAACATCTATCACTATAGACTGGCAGGAATTCTTTATTACAGAATACTTCGAGCTGTGTTATTTGTTCTGTAGCATAAGCTGTTAACAGGAAAAATGAGCATGTAGGGGCTGGCAAGAAGATCCATCAGGAAAAGGTGCCTGGCACCAAGCCTGATGACCTGAGTTCAATCCCTGAGACTCACAGAGTAGAAGGAGGGAAATAATACAAGTTGTCCATTTATCTCTACATGCATGCCCTAGTGCTCTCCATATGTGCACGCGCGCGCGCGCGCGCGCGCGCACACACACACACACAAGTAAAATGTAATAAACTTTTTAAAGCAGACATGTGCTGACTCCATATTTAAAAGGGCACTTAGAGGGTGAGAATCACTTTGTAAAGGACATTAGTTTTTTATCCCTCCTTGCTCTCATCTGCTTTGGGACCTTGGGGTGACCTTGCTTGCTGGGATCTCCCTTTTCCCCATAGTCTGTTGGCCAACAGGCTGCAAAGGCAAAGGGAGCAGAGGTGGCAGGCAGGGCTTGGCTGTGAGTACAACGGAAATAAACTTCCATGAGTCATCTTCAGTGAGACAGTTCAACTTTATTCCAGAGTTGAATATCCAGGGGAAGACATAGGGCAGGGACAGCAGCTGGGACATCACCTAAGAGGTGCTCATAGCATGCTTCCTTTGCATTTGGCAGCATGGTCCCACCATACAGATGGGAGCACAATGCCTAATTATCATATGGGGGAGGGGGGCATTTACAGGAAACTGTGTCAAAGGTCACACTTAAGATAAGTCAAGGACAGCTTCCAAATAAGGTCAGGCAGAGAGCAGGAAGTCTTCCATTTTGCTCCGAGCTCAGAGAGCTGTCTGACAGGGTGGACTGCAACCTTAAGCAGCCGGGTCTTCCCACAGTTTGCTACTGGATTTCCAAGATTCAATGTCTGACTTTTCTGGGGACTTGCGGTTCACATAGTGAACAACTAGCATACTGGGAACACTAAGAACATTAAAATTAGATATCCCTTTAATCCTCTCTACTTTGCCCTCCTTTCATGTCCCTTTCCCACAAAGACTTCTGAGACTTCCCTGGTGCATGAAGTCCACTTTATGCTGTCTTGTCTGTTGAAAAGATACCTTCACTACTTTCTCTGCTTCTGAAGCTTTGTGTAGCTTTTTTTAGATAGTATTTTAGGAAAACAGTCTTTGATGGTAAAAATATTTAAGTGTTCTAATGGTTACAGTTGGAAATAATAAAGTGTATTGTCTTCACTGTAAATCTGCCCTGTGAGTAACAGAAGAGGCCCCCTGTCCCAGTTGAAAATGATGACTAAAGGCTGTTGGTTTGTTGGCAGATTCTGCAAAGGATGACAATACCATAAAAGACAGTGATGTGACCAATCATTCTGTGTGTGACCAAGAACTTCCCAATGGTAAGTAATGAGGTCTTTTTTCAGCTTTTTTTTCCTATTAAGGAGTATTATGTATTAAAAGTCAAATGTGAGATTTTTCTAGAAAAAGTAGAATTCTGATGCTATTTCCTTACACTGGCATCTTGGTGAGATATTGTTGCCATCCTCAATCTTTGTCACTCATTATTTTTAACCAAGTTGGTATCATTCATATTGTTTATTGTTACCTGCCTGGGTTCTATAAGCAATAGCTTTGGAACCATTGAAATGAATATGATAATATGAATATGATAAGAATAAGAATAAATGTGAGGCATATGGAGAATAAGCCCAGGAGACTAAATCTCCATATCCATATCCTTGGAATACCAAGAAGAGTAAAAAAGCTTACAGAAATAAAGCAATCTGTAGGAAAATAATAGAGAGAAAAATGTTTTCCTAATGCAAGCCAATTTCTATGCCTAGAATGTAAGAGTATACATTATATTTGTATGTAAAGGTAATGAAAACTCAAATAAGAACAGACACATCCAAAGCCTCATGTAATTTCTGAAGACTGGTGGCTAGGAAAGGCTTGTAAAGTATACAAGAAAGACAAAAGCAGTACAAACAATATCACCAGAATCCAGCCCCAACTGCCAGGAAAACCAGAATGGCTGAACTGTTTAAGGTCCCATTTCTGCACCTAGTACAGGTATTGTTCATGCTTTAAGTCAAGTACTAGTTTCTTGGGGATGAAAATATTTAGAAAATATGCTGTCCAGGCATGGTTTTTGAAGAAATGAACCGAAGGCTTGTTTAAAACCTAAGTGCAGGTCCGGCGGTGTTGGCGCACACCTTTAATCCCAGCACTCCAGAGGCAGAGGCAGGTGGATCTCTGTGAATTCAAGGCCAACCTGGTATACAAATTGAGTTCCAGGACAGGCTCCAAAACTACACAGAGAAACCCTGTCTCAAAAAACCAAAAAATAAAAACAAGAAGAAAAGAAAAGAAAAGTGCAGAGGGGGAAACAAAACTCAAACTGAGGCAGGCACAATGGGAAGGTTCTGTGCGGTGAAGTACAGATCAAACATATGAAAATTATTTAAACGATCAGTTTTGAATTAGTAGCAAAACAATATAACCAAATATCTTTTTTAACTTTGAAAATACATATTGTTTAAAGGTGACAGATGATTTCTACTCTTAGTAATTAAAGCCAAAATAACTTGGGTTATTTCTCTCATTAATATCAACTATATAACCTAAACAAAAATATACATACACTATATTCGTTGATTATATTATATTTCAATATTTCATGTTTCTATTTAATCCTGTTTCGATTTATTACATATGAGCTACACATGTAATATAAGTATTAACATTAGATAGATAGATGATAGATAGATAGATAGATAGATAGATAGATAGATAGATAGATAGATAGATATACATATACACATATGAGTATGAGAAAGAGTTTAAAGGTGTTAAAGAGTTAACAAGACAATAAAGAATTGCCAGGCTAGGTCCAAAAGAAGGTGACTCTCTGGATTGGGAGTCCAAAGTTTAAACTGCCTTTGTCTTAGGAAGCATATTGGTTCAGCAAAGACTATTTGGAGTCACATTGCTAAAAAGGCAGAGGGAGTCTTACAGCCCTTTCAAGTATTGTGAGTAGAAAGCGCAAAGATACATACAATGGCAGAACAGTGAGTGAGCCAGCGAAGGGTCTGCTTTTTTAAGCCTGCTATTCATTTTCAAATTACCTTCATCCCCGAAGTAAATTAGTACCAGCCCAGACTTCCACATCTCCTAAGAACCAGAGAAAAACACACATGAGATAGTAGCAAGAGTACAGAAAGGACCTTATCCACATCAAACAATTTTTATAACTATTTTGTGAAATACAGTATCTAGTACCTACATGCAAAAAAAATAACCAAACAGGTAAAAGTAATCAAGGTGGCTAGAGTCCCAAAAATGAGAGATGTCAGCTTACATGAACTGAAAATATTGCTGATAAATACAAGGTATAAGACAGTGATACTGGGGGCTGGAGAGGTGACTCAATGGTTCAGAGCACTGACTGCTCCTGCAGAGGACCCAGGTTCAATTCCCATCACCCACATGGCAGCTCACAACTGTCTGTAACTCCAGTTCCAAGGGATCCGACACCTGAACACAGACATACAGGAAGGCAAAACATCAATGCACATAAAATAAAGATGAATAACTTGATATTGTTTTTTTAACATAGTGACACTGAATACTCATAAAGGAATAAAGGCAAGATTAGAATTTCTAACTGAGGATGGGAATTACTGAAAATAAAAGTAAGAAAATAAAGACAAGTTGGAAGTAAAACATTTGCTAACTCAAATGAACACATTCATGTTCTAACAATATATTAGGAGTATATGAAAGATAGTTTGTGAACCATAGGTTAGATATGAGGAAGATATCCAAATTAAAAATAGTAAAGAGAAAATAAGATGACAAGCACTGAAGTAGGGAAATGTCATTTATTATATAGTGGTGAAGTGTATCATGAATTGAACTAGAGAACAAATTGATCAGCATCAATATTTGAAGAAATTATGTGAGAAACTTTCTTATATTGATAAAAGAGCCTGAATGCATCAAAAAATTTGAACTCCAAGCAGACCAAATAAAAGTAAATCCACAGCTAGTCCTATCACAGTGAAATTGCTGAAATGGTCAAACATGCACTCCAAGCAGAAACATAGAAATAAATCTACAACAAGTCCCATCACATCATAAAGATAAAAAGAACATCTAAAAAGTAGTCATCCAACAAATGCCTTGCCGATAAATGACTTTCTAATAGATACGATGGAAATACCAAGAAAAAGGAGCAAAATGATAGTCAACCAAGAACTGGAAACCCTGTAGGAAATGTGTTTCAAGAATAAGAACTGATTAAGTTTACTTAACAAGGGATAAAAAGAGGTCCTGTTGATTACCAGATGTTCCACAGGGGCTAGAAAATATTGATTCCAGGTAGAAAGTCAAAGGTGTATGAAAAAATTAAGAGGAAGGTAAATTAAATATAAGTCTTGCTATTCTCTTGGAAGACAGGAATAGTGTCTCCCTCTATTAGGTCTTTTTCTAATGTCACGGAGAGTAAAAGTGCTAATGAATGTTTGAATTTTATGTCTCAATGACCCCTGAAAGTAAGAAAATGAAGTGATTTCTGTCTCAGATAATTGCTTGGAAGGTTTCCAGGCCATGGCCCAGGGGGAAGGGATTCAGGCAGAGCTCCATGGACTCCCTGAACAGTGGACACAGAATCTTGGGAGCTAAAGTAGACAGAGCCGCAGATCAGAGTCCTGGAAGGATCGTGTTCCTGCAGATTGAGACCAGTTGGAGCATGAAGGAAAGGTGATTTCCCATGCTCAGATAAAAGATGCTAAAGGAAGGAATTGATACTGTTAATTGAGCTTCAGTGATTGGGAAGGCTAAACTTCCATAGAGGTAACACTCAAATTAAAAAATCCTGACTATGTTTCTAAGAATATAAATTATCTTTAAGAATATCCTTTAAATCTGTATTAATTGTGATGGTGCATGCCTATAATCCTATTACCTAGGAGGTTGAGACCTGAAGATTACAAATTCAATGTCAGACTGGACAACAGAGCAAGTCTCTATCTCAAAACACACACACACACACACACACATACACACACACGCACAATTGTACAAGAATCACAAATATAATGAAGCCTGAGTAGAATTAAAAGAAGATAGCTTACTTTCCTAATTTTCTCCAAACTCATTATGAACATGAAACTGTATTCAATAATTCATATAATAATAAATGTAAGTAACTTTGCAATTAATGCACACTGTATCAGATGAGGGGACAGAAATACAAATAGGTGTGAGTCCATACATAAAATTAGGTTATTTTATCAAGTATAAGAACCAGAACAATTTAGTTAAGTTCAATAAAATTGCAAAGACTTAAAAGGATGGAATTAGGAAAAGAAAAGCTGTAGTAGTGAAAATAAGCACCAAATGAGAACAGGAAAGGTGGCTTTGGACCTATCAGCCAGAAGGCTCACAGAAGAAAGAACTGGTCACTTCACAGTGATGAATATTTGAGTCCCTCATTAAATCTTTTAGTGATGGGTCTTCATGTGTCAGATGGTGAGATAAGATATAATACAAATCAAAACCTGTTGGAAATACAGCAGGGAATTTGCAGGTGTAATATGGTCAGCAATGAAAGAACAAATAGACCAAAAATAACAGGGGATGTTTTTAGAATGTGATTAACAGTGTAGTCCTGCTGTAGGATGTGACGGGCAAATCAATGAAACAGACTAACGCATCTAGAAGTAAGACCAAGTACATACGCAGGCTGGCATTTCAAAGACATATGACTCAGGAAGTGACCTTAAGACAGCTAGTTGGATGTTTGGGGAAAAAAATAAACTGAATCCCGACTTCAATCCTTACACCAACATAAAAGCTCCAGACAGGGTAAAGATGAAATACAAAAGCACTATAAAATATTAGAATAAATTATTAGGTTATTCAACACTAAAAAGAATGAGCTAACAATACATAGAAAGATTGAGAGGTAACTTAAATGCACATTATTAAGTAAAAGAAGCCAATCAGGAAAGATTATGGGCCATGTGAGTCTAGTTACAGGACATGGGAGCAGAAGCATGAAGATCGGTAAAGGTCAGTGGCTTCTAGGAGCTGGGGGGAGGTTGGGGTAGGGAGAGTGACTAGGAAGAGACAGGAATCCCAGGACACTGAAAATACTCAGAATGACACTAAGATAACATCTGTTACCATGCATGTAGCCAATCTGGTGAAATGCATCATACCACAATGAACCCCAGTGTGAGAAAATACTGTGGCGAAACCAGTGTGAGCCCAACAGTTGTGGCAAATATACCATTCAGGCTGTGAAAGCAAACCCTGGGGAGGCGAGGAGGCTTCCAATGGGTGGAGGGGGCATATGGTATGTTTCTGTACCTTCCTTTTCATTTTGCTTTGA